TCAAATCAGGTTTTGGTCTTTTAGAATGGGAAAGATGGGGTTTGGGGCTTTGCTGGTTGTAGCACCACCACAAACAGTGGGCAATGATAAATTCAAGAGTCATTGTTGATGGAAGCTGAGTTGGAGTCGAACGAGTTCTGTAACACACAGATGACGAAGCTCGTCTACACTTGATATTTTTTATCATTTTTTTTTTATTTTTCTACAAAGTTTTTTTTGAAATATATAATTATTTTGTGAATTTTTATCAATTTATTTATTTTATGCAATTTCTATTTTCTTGGTTGAAATATAATTTTTTTAAATTTTATTATTTTCCCTTTTTTCTGAACTTTTTATCGATTTCTGTTTTTTCTACTATCTTTGTATTTTTTCTGCAAATTTATATCAATTTGTGTGTTTTTATTATTGTTATTATTTTTGTTTTTTTTAATTGTCTTAATATATGTATTTTGTTTGGCTAAACTATTTGTAATTTCTTATTCTTTGCATTAGGTTAGAGGGTCATATGGGTGGGTCAGGGTAAAGGTGGGCTGTGACCCATTAAGACCCATAAATATGGGTGGAAAATGGGTCAGCGGGGTCAATATGGTGGGTTGGTACTAAACCATCACCCAACTCAACCATTTGCAACCCCTCCCGATATGTTCATGTCAAACATCAACCATTTGCAACCCCTCCCGATATGTTCATGTCAAACATCATAAACCTTTTCAGTAGCTGTTTAAAAGAAAAAACTAAAAAAAAAGCTCCCGAGAAAAGGAATTAAGGGGGGTGGAGACAGAGCAGGATGCACATGAGGCCCAGTGCCCATGCTATAGAAAACCTACAGTTGCAAACTCAGATTTGGTCCTCACAAATAGGGGTGTAATTGGATTGGATTTGGTTCAATCTGATCCAATCCAATGTGAGTCCATTACAAATGGACCAGGTCCAATCCAATTCAATCCAACGAATAATTTGGACTGGTCCAATTCAATGTCTGGACCGTCCTATTGTTAAAACTCGTTTTAATTTAGATTAGTTTCAACCCAAACCCGGTCCATTGACACCTATTCTTATCTTATATCAATGGACCAGATATTGCTTAATCCAACCCAATGCAATATAAATTTATTACGGGTGGACCAGGTCCAATCCAATCTAATAAATATTTTAGACTAGATTGATCCAATCCAATATCTTGTTGGTTCATCCAATCCGTCCAAATTGATTTTGAACTGAACCCCGTTCAGTCCAAAACTGGCCCATTGACACCCTTACAAAATTGTCCTCACTCCTCACGATCTTTTGTGAAGAGAGATATCCAATGCACGGCTGCAAGGAACTGTGAGGACGTTTATTGAACGATTGATCCCACATTTCTTCTTTGAGAGTGATCATCATCTCAGATTCTCAGTTACTGATTGATCCTGCATCTATAGACCAGTAGCGCCCAAAGTTAGCAATGTAATGATGCACGGTATGAAAATGAAAAATATACTAAAAAGAGAAATGGTTTTGGATGTAACTCAATATCAACGTTTTCCAATATATTCATGAATTCATCAAAAGAAAGCAAAAATTGAAAGAAGTTTCTTATAATACAAGGAAGAATACATTGTATTGATTGCATTTGTGTCAATCAGTTTCGTTAGTGCATCTTTCGAAAAAATTTTACAGATTTTTTCTCCAATTTTTGTTAATTTTTCAGAAGCGCGTTTCTTCACTCGTATCCTAAGAAACGTAGTTGAAGTTGTTTGAGTTGCAGCCCTAGGATGAAACTTGATGAGGGCGGATTTGGCCCTCTAGTGACATCATGACACATGGTATTTCAGAACAATTAGATGACACCTCAATACCACAAAGGCGATGACTTGTTTTAACCAAAATGATAGAGCCTGACCTAACGACCTGCCTCCGACGCCGACCTGACGAAAACCTAGCTAACGACCTCATCCGGCCTCACCTCCAACCTCACAGGGGGGAAAAGATACACGCGATTATTAGCTTACTAGCATACAAACATTTAGCTCGCATACAAGGAGTATTGACTTAAGCATCATAGCGACCACGTTGGGTAAGCCACCCTGGGTTCTCTAATCCATCTTCCTTGTAGTTCAACTGATCCACTCAGTGACCAAAGTCCGAGCTACCCTACAACTAGGAGCTTTCAGATTATGCACCATCAATTGGCGCCGTCTGTGGGAAATGCAACAAAAAACTGAGTTCTCACCTTCTAGAAAGTTATGATCTCACCTTTTAGATTACTAAGTTTTCACCTTCTAATTTCCATTTTTGTCAATTCAATGACATTTTTGAGCAGCACCAACATCAAGAACAAAGTATCAGTTACTGGGGGGCAAGAATATCCGTGATAACCTTAAAAACCCCTGTGACAATCAAGCAAGATCAGTGCCCCTAGCACTTCTTGGAGTAGCAACCACACTGAACCCAACACTCCCATTACCCCAGGCAAATACACTGCTACCTCATGTGAAGGCCCCTCTCCCTGCGGTAGAGCCACCAATGGTTCTCACTGAGATTGAAGCACAACCATTTTATGAGTTGAAGCATGGATCTCCAGATGTGGACATGGGAGGAGAAGTTAGGCACATTCACAAAATAATCAGCAGCAAAACGACCTCAACAACCTACACTCCGGCGATAAGCACCTCAAAGTAAGGCCGCCCCCGCAGGTCGAGCCCTTCGTGGCTCCCGCAGGAGTTGATGGCCAATAGATTGAGCAGCTCTATCGACCTCAGTTCAGCCTGGACGAGCCTCATCAGCTCTCTTCGTAAGCTCTCCCCTACAAGTTGAGCCCTTCACAGCTCCCGCGGGAGTTAGTGGCCTACGGACTATGTGAACGCCCTTGCAGGTTGAGCATTTCAAGGCTCCCGTGCGAGTTGGCAAGCTACAATTAGTAGAGCTGCCCCTGCAGGTCGAGCTCCCTATGGCTTCTCGTAGGAGTAGACGATCGTCTCCAAGGGTTGATGCAGTGTAGCTGTGGCTTCAACCTACTGTCCAACACAAAGGTAACATACATATCAACAAAACTCACAAGCAGAACAGAAATGGGCAGCCAACAGTTCCAAGAGTAGGTGGTACATGTACGCCATGATCTTGCAAGCACCTACCCAGGGAAGCCAATCTCAAAGTGACAACATAGAAGCAACCACATTTAAGACTACAACAGAATGACTATCTGCCTCAGCGACTTGGTCGAACTGAGTCCTAAGGGAATGCTATACTGCATTTAACTAAGGCCTCCTCAAGCCGACCTCGAAGCACGACGACAACAAGTAGACCGATCTAAGCAGGTCGACCCCCTGTTTATCTAGCTCGGCAACATGTGTAAATCAATCTCAAAGGACGTTGGCATCTCATTGCCAACTTAAAAAAGAGAGAGAGAGAAACGAAGGAAAAACTAGTTCGCTTTCAGCACCGTGGTAGATGCAAACTTGACCGATCTCTTCACATCCGACCTCCACTTCGGTTTCAGGCTCCACATCGACCTCGCTAACTACTCTTTTGAGAACCTGCTCGAGGAACATTTTGTTGTAGTCTACCCGGGTGGAGTGACCTGATGAGGCAGTCATGCAGTTAGAAGTCCCTTTTGAAGACGGCATGGCGAACTTCGCTCTTGAGGTATTGGGTTAAATTGCAAAACTTCTTGATTGCTGCATCCCTGGTAAGGTAGATGTCATTGGAGTGCTTGCTCTGCCTCTCCTCGAGCGGATGAATTTGCCCTTGTGCCCCGATAATCAAGATGGTGAGATCCTACGTAAGGCTGCATTAAACACTTGGACTCTTCCAACCTAGGGAGCAAAACTAGACTGACGCCAATAGCTGCGAGCTCATCAAATTAGTCACTCCAGGTCAAAGAAACAAACTACTCCCTTCGCCGAATTGATCTCAACTTGGGAGGGGGGGCAATTGATGATGGTGGATTTGGCCTTCCAATGACATCATGACACATGGCATCTCAAAACAATTGGATGGCACCCCGACACCACATAGACAATGACTTGTTTTAGCCAAAATGATAGAGCCCGACTTGGTGACCTGCCTCTGACGCTGACCTGGCGAAAACCTAGCTGGCAACCTCATCCACAATTCAGGGCGGCTTGTAACACCCCGTCCAGGGCCGACTTGTGGCACCTTGTCACCAGCCAAAGTGACCTCGACATGAGAAGCGACCTCCTTCGAAGGCTTACCGACCTGATTGAGGTCCAGGTGGTGACCTGTGAGACATGCTCGCCGACCCATTTTGCATGCACACCCCTTCACTCCTGGGTTTCTCGAAAGTTGGCCCCCGCACCAAATGTTTCGAAAGAAACCGAACAAGGTGCGAAGACTGATCTACGTGCACGACTACCTCCGAAGACTTCTAACTGGTTAGGCACGACCTCCCGGAGATCTCAGACGCGATGCGTAAAGCCCACACCAAGCAACACCTATATATAAGCCTCACCTCCAACCTCACAGGGGGAAAAGGTACACACGATTATTAGCTTAATAGCATACAAACATTCAGCTTGCACACAAGGAGTATTGACTTAAGCATCGGAACACCACGCTGGGTAAGCCACCTTGGGTTCTTTGATCCATCTTCCTTGCAATTCAATCGATCCACTCAACAACCAACGTCCAAGCTGCCCTACAGCTAAGAGCATTCAGACCACTCACCATCAAAACCCTATCCAAGCTCGAACACAATTAATGTTTAGAAATTGTGACGATTCAAAGATGATCATCACGATCTAATTACACTTGAAAAAATCATTCAGAAGAAAGACACAAAACTAAAGGTTTTATGTAATTTGCTAAGAGGCCTACGCGCACGAGATAACAAATCACTCTTATGTTCTCTGTAAAATGAAAATAAAATATAATTTATCAAAAGCTAATATAAAATAAAAAAAGAATGCACTATAAATAAAAAAAATATCGTTTGTCCAATCAGTGGCGTCAGGGTCCCAAACCCAAAATATAGAACGATAAGAAGAGTAGATTGGATATGATGAAAAGGGAAAGCAATTAATCTTTGTTATTCACATTAAATTCAACCCCACTAAACAGCGTTCATACAATGCAAAACTGAAGCTGTACATCAGTACACCTTACTGAGAATATTCTGAAACATTTCGTCTTAGATATGGTGAACTAACATTGTTTAATAGTGTCGCTATGTTTACCCATAGCTCTACTTCTCCATCTAATATACTGGTAAAGAAATATTATATATAACCCAATATTTACAAAAAAGCTTACTACTCTGCACGGTATTCCTCCATGACGCTTTTATCTCCTACCTTTATCTCTCAACCAGGTAATGCTACCAATTCCGGTCATTTTCATCCATTTTCTAACTTTTCCAAACTTCAGTCACCAGTTGTCACTACCTCACGCTCAATTAATGCCAGGACTTTTAGCACAGTAATCCATCCATGTTTCCTCACTGTAATCACCATGAATTTGTTCTTTTTTCAGAGAACAGTTCTCATTGGGATCCATTATCTATAAGATTCCCCAAATGGAACAACCTGAAATAACAACACTTGACAGAATATACGGAAGTAAGTTTCTCCAACATAAGCAGGATACCATGATATTATATATGCATGCAATTCCTATAATTTAAGGCTGATAATTATCCAAATCTACACATTACTTGATCTCTCCTTGAAACATCAGCAATCCCTGTCTTCATCCTTTTCGTCCTGCATGGACCACTGAGGTTTTCTTCTTCTGTGACTTCATCTACAAAGTTCTGATCAGATACTTCTGCAACAACCGAAATAGCCAAACCACTTTGGTACAAGGAAAACAAGTGAAACAACAAATAACCATGACTTATAATACAGAGCTATTGCTTGCTAGACTTAAGTGCCCACTACAGATAAAAAAGTTAAAAACTTAAACGTTCTTAATGTTATAGGTTTATTGAGACCACATAGCCTGGAATATGATACGCCAATTCTCCTACACTGGGTTCTGTCCTATTCTGGGATAACTATTTTGTGGTTTGGAAGTTGAATCTTTTCAAAACATGGATTCTCAGGGCACCCCCATAGTAGAAAGAGAAGTCCCCACTCTACACCCTTGATGAGATAAATGAGGAAGAAAATACTATAGTAGTGGAAAATAAGTTGCAAGAACCACTATACTTGAAAGCTATGCCCTTTATCTCGGAACCAACATAATATATGCCACTTGCAGAAGTAATAACCTGTAAAATTACACTCTTGTCCTCACATAAGTAATAAAAGAAGAATTACAACTATAACCTTGTCGACTATAATATTAAAGAGGAAATCTGTGGAAGTGATTCATCCTAGCCCGGCTTAAACCTTTGGTGAAGAGATTAACTAACTGATCTTCTGACCTCACATCAGTGTTTTAAAAGCGCAAGGCGCAAAAAAAAAGCGCAAGGGCCAATTTGCACTTGAGGCACAAGGCACAAGGCAAGGCGCAAAATTACAAAAAATAAAAAATGTCAGAAAATTCAATAAAATGCCAAAAAATTTAAAAAATGCAAAAAAAAAAATATTAAACATACCGTTAATAAAAAATATAAACTTAAAATTTAAAATAAATGTTTTAAAAAACCTATTATCTAAAATTAAAATACATAAATATAACATGTAAAGCGTATTCAAATGAAAAAAAAAACAAACATATAAAGCATTTTCAAGCATGTAAAACCCACAATCTCTTTTTTTCCTCAATTGCATTACTTCAAGTAGCTAATGTGATGTAAAAGTAAAACATATTGCATTCTTGATTCTATGAGTCACCTTTGTACCACGCCTCTCAAGGCAAGCCCAAACAAGTCCATGTTAGGGTCTTAAATTTGCTCGCTTCACTCACTCACCAAAGCTCCGAGAACCCCCTATTTGCTAATGTTGTTCATTCATTCATTCCAATAAAATATCTCCAGAAAAGGCAATTAAAGTTATAAAATCATTATTTTTTATGTGAGAAGTAAGAATTTAAGACCCTAACATGGACTTGTTCAGGCTTGCCTCGAGGAGTGTGGGTGAGGGGTCCAGGGGTGGAGCCTCCAGCCCAGCCGTTAGGCTCAAAAAAAAAAAACAAAAAGCACAAAATTTTAAAAAGGCGCACGCCTAGGCTGAGGCGCAAGGCACATCAGGTGCACCAGCCTGGGACCTGGGCGAGGCGCATAACCTAAAATGCGCTATGCACCTCGCCTGTGCGCCTAGGCACGCCTTTTAAATCATTGCCACATAAGGCGTAATAATGTCTCCACTTGCACCCCTCTCTCACAAAGTGTCAATCCACTTCTATGCTTGGTCCTTTCATTAAACACAAGATTAGAGGAAATGCAGATTACTGCCTGATTTTCACAAAATAGTTTGATAGGTGTAAAAATTCTCACTCCAATTTCTTGTAACAAATGCTTCAACAAAGCCAACTCACAAGTGTTATGTGCCATTGCCTTGTATTCAGCTTCAAAACTACTATCAACTAAACTGCTTTTTACTCTTCCAAGTAACTGAATTTCCTCCAAGAAAAGTGCAATAACTAGTCGTGGACTTTCTGTCTGTATACCCTTTCAAAGACAATTGTCTCCCTTTCTTATATAACAAACTTGGAGCACCCTTTAAATAGCAAAGAACCCTAACAATACCTTCCCAATGATTCATCCTTGGGTTCTACATAAATTGGCTCGATAATCCCACACTAAAGGAAATGTCTGGCCTCGTAATGGTGAGATAGATGAGTTTTCCCACTAGTCTATTGTATCTCCCAGGATCATCCTGAAGCTCCCCTCACTATCAGATATCTTAACATTTGGATCAATAAGAGTGTCCACTAGTTTCGCTTCATAACGAAGACAAAGGGACATACAAGATTTGGAATTCCACTGGTACAGATTGTCCTGGTCAAATTTTCAATTACAGCTTCACATGGCCTTTATATATAAAAAAAAGGTTCAAAAGTCCATCAGGTAAATGGGTTACTGCTGCTGGCAGAGCTGTAGCCTGTAGGCATGAAACATTTTAGGTTCAGGGAAAATGGCTGGACTTCAGCACCAAAGGATAACTAACAATTTTTCTGGGAAAAAAAAACTCAGTTTTTATGCTAATGTAGCTTGTTATATCATGGTAATTGGTAATCCTGGTCTAGTGGTTTTCCATTGTTCAAACTTCAAAATAATTACCTTTTTTTCTTTCATTTCTTGTGGCATGCCTTTTAGTTTTTATTTTTAATTCTTTTGCAAGGAGTGATTAGGGAACACCCCATTTTTATAAAGAGGGCACACTCCTATTCTCTTTTTTCTTTCCTGCTATGAAAAAAAAAAAATATGGGGGCACACCTCTAATCATTGCCCCAAAAGCATGTGCCTTAAATTTCAAAAGCATCCCATTTTTTGACTACTATGGTAACCAGTAGTGATTTCTTTGTCTTCTCACTAGGGATGTAGTCGTTTTTTATAAAAATGGGGTGTGCCCTAATCACTCCCAATCTTGTAGTTAGCATGAATTTTGATGTCATGGCAAGCAGGTAACATCCCATTTTTTGACTACTATGGTAACCGGTAGTGGTTTCTTTATCTTCTCACTAGGGAATAGGGATGTGGTTGATTTTCATAAAAATGGGATGTGTCCTAGTCATTCTTGATCTTGCTGTTAGAATGAATTTTGATGTCATAGCATAGCAAGCAGGTCAGCACCCCCCCCCCCCCAAAGGAAGGAACACGGATCTGCTGGCAACAAGTATGTGAACCAGGCAATGTAACCAATCATAAGTGAACACACCAGTGTTTACAGCAGATCCTGTAGTAACTGTAGCAAGTGAAACATCATTCATTTTTTCTAGAAGTGATGTGGATCCCATGTGTACATAGACTGGTTCACCCACCAGTGTTCACAGCAGATCCTGCAGGAAGGTAGCAACTGTAGCAAGTGAAACATCATTAAGTTTTGTTAGAATCCCAACTTGCCAACCCCCAAGTTGACTCCATAAATTCCCCTTAGTTGATTCAAGTTCAAAGCAGAGGGATCCTAGTCATAATGGTGACTATAAATGCACATCAGTCCTATGAATCATGTTTATTGCATGACTCAACTCTTGCTGGAGTCACTTTGACTCTTCAAAGTAAATTGACCAACTTCCCTGAGCCAATTTTCTTTGACTCATTCCCATAAGTCTATGTTAATATGTAGATATTTGTTATTTTAGAATACAAGAAAGGTGTTATGGGTGTTTAAAAAGTTATTAGTAAATTAATTGAGTTTTTCATATTTTTATACAAACATTTAAATAAGTCACTAAAAATTTAAACATTTGTGTACCTAAGTATTGCTCTACTATTAGTAGTATATAGCATTAAAACTTGGATTTATGATTCTATGGTCATCAGTATGGAAGGGAAAAATTTATTATAGAAACAAGTACAATGTACCACACCCATCGTCATCATCTAAGCCGTGTCCCTACTATATGGGGTTGGCTACAATGTGCCACACTCATAAAAAGGCCATTACCCAAAATTTTAAACATTTGTATACCTAGTATTGCTCTACTATTAGTGGTGTATAGAATTAAAACTTGGATTTATGATTCTATGGTCATCAGAATGGAAGGGCAAAATTTATTATAGAAACAAGTACAATGTACCACACCCATCATCATCATCATCATCTAAGCCTTGTCCCTACTATATGGGGTTGGCTACAATGTGTCACACTCATAAAAAGGCCATTACCCAAAATCAATCCCAGCCATCTGGGGTCTTGGGAGGACTGGAGGAGTAGACTGGATATAGTCCTAACCTTAGGCAAGTTTTTATTCACGCAAAGTGGCCGCGTTCTCATGCTTTCCAGCCCAAAATTTTACAATTATATCATGGTCCCTAATGTTCCACACACATATTTTATAAAATTTTAAAATTGTGACACGACCCCCCAAGTTCAGTCAATCAACCTTACTGAGCCAAGTCAAAAACCTGAGTTTGCGAACTATGACTAGAAGTGCTTGAAATATCTAAAAGTTTTTCACCCAACTTCAAATTCATCAATCATCACTAATTTATATATTTTGCCTTTGTCCACATTTTTTAGATTACGATTTTTCAATTCAATATCTGTCCATTTCAAATAGAAGACCATATAAAAGATTGCTGTGATAATAAAGAGGAAAAAATAAAATGAACAAAAATTGAAACAATGAACAACACATCACAAAGTACTTGCAAATCACATGGTTGTATTACTAGAAACCAACATCATCAATATGATAAAAATAAAATCTAGAAACTATGAAATTAAGCATATTAATTAGAATGTTACAACAAAAACCAGAAACAATAGCAAATGCCACCTTGAACAATATTTAAAAGAAAATTTGGTCAAAATAAGTAACAATAGTTTAAAGTTTACTAAATTGTCAAGAGCCATGAAAGCATAAATGGAAGTTTGTTTGTATAGCTAAACTCTCTTATGCATTGGTTAAATTAATATGCATTTGTCCTTGAAGAAACAAGCACCAATTATTCGCAAGCATACACTAAAGTTTTTTTTCATCTGATAATGTAAAGTAAGTAGCTATAATTGCATTGTACAATGTAGGATTAGTATCTTTTCACAAGTTTTTTTTTTTATTTTTATAATTAGTATTTGTTTCTTTTAAACTGGGTGTAGGTAACATCAAAAGATAAACATATAACAAATATTTTCCAAGGGTAAACAAAGTAAAAATCTGAATACTATATAGTATGTCAAACTGCATAGTAAGAATGGCTAAGAAAGGAATAAATACATAGTTATATTTGAAATCCACCTGTGCTGTTCCCAACATATTCTCGATGAAACATGTCAAACTGGCATGGTGAGAGCTGCTTTGAGCTTGTTGCTTCTCCAGAAGATGCCGCTTTCTTGCCTCTTAAGTGGAATGTGTGACTATGCAATGAACTATTTTCTTTTGGAGTGGCTGACACAACTTCTGGGGACTTTCCAGCAGATCGGAAATGTTGAATCCATGAATTTTCCAGAAGTACATGGGACTTACCTGCATTCCCTGACTGAGGTTGAGCTCTTTCGAAATTGAGCTTCTGCCAGGAGCCATCTCGAAGAACGTTGAACTGGAAAAGGATAAGAAAGAAAGATGATAAAATGAAAGGAAAGGAAAATTAGCAAACCAGATATTCATATTCACTGCTTACTGGAGAACATGGCATAAACAACTACGATGACTACCTGGCCAGTAGGTGTGTTAGCACTTGAATATAATGAAGTGTTGTGATCTGATGGGTTTTCTTTCTGTGGGTGCAAACCAAGAGTGTCCATTGAATCATACTTGTGGTTATACAAGTCCTTAACAAACAATGCTTCCATAAAATTGAGGTACAATCTGTGCTTCTCATCTGTCCACTGTGTCAACATTGGCTCTATCACCTGAAAGTCCACATAATGAATTTCCAGTATGACAACCATAACAATTATCTAGGAACAAGATCAGGATGAACTTCTAGTAAATGAAACTACTAAATCTTGGAAGAACTTCAGGTAACAGAAAAAATATATATTACTCAATTTGGAGTAATAGCATTTATTTCATCTTATTGTTGTATTTCCGACAGACCAACCTTCACCTACATCTAGCCATTCACTCTATCTAACTTCGCTATGTAACAGAAAGGAAAAAGATCTCATCCTTCTCCTAACATCAAAGACATTGACAAACGTTCACTTTAATTGAATCTATTTAGAAAGCCTGAATAAATGTCAAAATCCCGTCAAAAAGGAAGTGCTCTTTATCTAACAAGTGTTAGTTCTATTCAGTTGAAGCAAAGCAACCCAGAGATTTTCCAATAAAGAACATAAACCTTAAGAATGACGTAGACCAATAATCAAAGACCAGTTATTGGCACTTGTTTGAGTTCATCCTTATCCGAAACCAACTTATTCAGTAAGAACATACAATACACTCTAAAAATACAAGATCAAACTAAAACAAAACAACACCTCGAGCATGAAGTCAGAATTGAAGACAAAAGCAGGTTCATTTAAGAAACTTGAGTGATTGTTTCACTTTTATAACTCCAAAAATGAAAAGAACTGAGAATCGTCATATCATATCATATCATAATTCATAATATAAAAATACCAAAGCAATTACAACCCTTGCCTCAGCCTCCTAGAGGAAACCCAAACCTACGTTTAGAAGAAAAAAGGAATCGACAAAGAAACTAATCTACAGGGCTTCCCAGTTCTAACCTTCTCGTCACCAACGAAACGTCCACAATTGTGATTGGTGATCCTGGAGAGATCGGAGGTGGTTCGAATCTCCGTCCTTCCACAACACTGCACGATTGTCGGATCAGACGACCTAAGCGGTGGCGCTTGGTGGACATTCCCTTCCATTCTCTCTGTCTCTGTGACCAAAGAAGATGCTCTCCAGATTTAGAGAAACGGGCGTAACGTTTCTAGGAAAATATCTTGCTGCGTTTCAATGGAGAAGGGAATTGATTCATTCGGTAGAGAGAAACAGAGGGCGGTGACGCTGTAGATGGGCATAGAGATTCCGGAAGGCTACGCTTTAACACGTTTCATCGACATCAAAAGGTTGCCATGTCAGCAAACAGCTGATAATATCTAGGCCAACTCCAGCCAGATATTTTTCCTTCTTGCGTCCCGGGTTATCCACGAACCCACAACCCGTTTTACGTGGCTGCACTTTTACTTTTACCACGGACTCGGAGCTTTTAGTGTTAGAGCCTTTACTCTTCACCGTGTGTCCGTGTACCGTGTCCCCCACTCGGCCACTCCCACAGTCCCACCCACCCATCTTTGGTGATTAAAGTGGTTATTAAAATAGGCATTGTTGTATAAGTAGTGCTTATTGTAAGTGCTTATTTTAACAATCATTTAAGGCCATTTAATGACCCTATTTGTTAAATCACTTATTGTATTTTTTAAGCACTTATTGGGGTGGAGATATTTGGTGAATTATTTTCCCACGAGTGTTTATATTAGCATAAATGATAATTTTAGCCTTTACTTCACTCATACATATAAATAATGCTTTTTACTTATTATACTATATATTTCAATGAAAAATCGCTACATCACCACATCATGACTAGACCTGTTCATGGGCCGGGCCGGGCCGGGCTCGGGCCGGGCTTTGACTCTTTATTAACAGAAAACTGTTAGGCCCGAGCCCGAGCCCGACCCGACCAACGGGCCTACAATTTGGGCCCGAGCCCG